GAGAGAGAGAGAGAGAGAGAGAGAGAGAGAGAGAGAGAGAGAGAGAGAGAGAGAGAGAGAGAGAGGTGGTTATGATCTCTGAGTTGCGGGCATGGATGGAGGAGGAAGAAAAGCAGGGTTGAAGAATCCAGGGGGTGACTCATCGACTGTCACAGTATATAGGATAGAAGGGCGCATAGCAGATACTCAATGGCATTTTATTTCTTGGGAAGCAAAATCATTATTGTGGTTTTGCACACCTGGGTGATCAACTTAGAAAGGCTTTAAATTCCCCTGGCAGTGCGTCGAATTTACTTCTTGAAATAGGCAATGGATATTAAATTATTAATCCGCAGGAAACCCACATATGTCTGTGTAGGATCCTCAGAGACTATATGTGATCAGTTGGAATAAAAAACAGGAGTCAATTCACATTCTTTTTTTTCACTTCGGGAGAATCCAAGGACATGAAAACACTTTGAATGTGGTTTAGCTGATCATACAGTTAGATTGGCCTATTCAGTACTCACTAGTCTAATGGGGTATAGTACCTGATTATACAGTTAGATTGCCATGGCCTATTCAGACCTGGGGCACCTGCCTGGCTTTCAATGTTATGAAATGGGGTCTGCGGTTGAGGGTTCGCAACATTTATGGGTTACATTAATTTTTGCTTAAAAGAAGAAAAAAAAAAAAAAAGGGACAATTTCTCGATTTACCTGTGTCATGATGTCATCCATAGGCAGGGGCCATATTGCTAATTTACCCTTCTCTGTATGGTTCCAATTTTGACGGATGTCACGAAGGACACATTAATGGGGTACGAGAGCACTCGTGCCGCGGAGTTTTGGGATTGGAGAGAGACACAGCACTCGTGCCGCTTCCGCTTCCGCTGGATTGGGGAAACAGCACCCCCTTCTGCTAACTTGATTCTTCCCGAGCATGGCACATAATATGGAGTAATGAGTCAGAAAGGGGTAATAAAACAGCACCCCCTTCTCAGACTGCTGGATTGGGGAAACGGCACCCCCTTCTGCTGGATTATGGCTAATGACTCAGGAGGGGGTGATGAAACAGCACCCCCTTCTGCTGGATAATTATGGAGTAATGAGTCAGAAGGGGGT